TCCAGTGCTCACCTGTCTTCTGTCTTCTCTCCTCAGGTATGGGAGCGCCCTGTGGCCTTGGAGGCTGAGCTGGCCCTGACACTGAAGGTCCTGGGGAATGTGGACAACTCAGCCCTGGGGCCCATCCTGGACCAGCCCCTTCACACACTGCATCACATCCATTCTGAGCTCCAGGCCTGTGTGAGTCTTCAGGGCACTCAAGACCCTTCTGTGGGCTCTGGTCCTGTGGGACCCCACCCCTCTCTCTGCTCAGGCAATGCCTCACACATACCTCTCTCTGCCCACAGGTTCCTCCTCAGCCCACAGCAGGTCCCAGGCCCCAGGGCCGCCTCCACCGCTGGCTGCACCGGCTCCAGGAGGCCCCGAGGAAGGTGAGTGACAGAGAGGGGTGGATGCCAGGGTCCTGTCCAAGGGAGGAAGCAATGGAGGACCACCTACTTGTCTCTTCCACAGGAGTCCCAGAGCTGCCTTGAGGCCTCTGTCACATTCAACCTCTTCCGCCTCCTCATACGGGACCTGAAATGCGTCGCCAGCGGAGACCAGTGTGTGTGAACCCTCAGATCATTTACCCAACCTCCCCTAGTACCTTGGCTATTGTATATATGCACTGACCTGTGTTCTTAAATTATTGTTACCAAATACTATTTATGTATGTGTGCAGAGTTTCAAACTCTGACACAAGAAAATATTTATTTTTCTATTTTTTAAATTATAACTTTGCAATTAAACACTGAGAAAAGAAACTATTTGTGATGTGGGACTGTTTGTGGATTTCTGTGCTAAATTTTTTGAAAGAGTTTATTTTATGGTTTTGTGGTTGTTGTTGAGAGCATACACAGCAGATTATACACCAGCCCAACAGTATGTGGATAATTTTGTGACATTGATGACGTTCTTTGTGTCCTGAAACTATTCTCAGCCTCTTTTTCTTAGTTGTGTCTCCTTCATTAACATAAACTCACTGTCCCCTAAATTTTCTATCTAATCATTGAAATTGCTGCTGTCAATTTGATCAGATGTGTATACAGATCTTAAAAGAACACAATGCTCAAAGCACACTTTCTTTACTAGTTAAACTAAACTTAATCTGATTTTAAAACAACTTCAGGGTATATTTTTGGTTTAAAATTTAAGGATTATCTCAGGGTATACATTTTAGGGATTCATCTAGGCTTCATGGTTCCAGAAAAGCTGGGTTCCTAGATAATTTGACATTCTGTTCTGCATCTCCCCACCTTTTGATCAGGATTTTAATATAGAATCTTCCATCCAAATGTACAATAATGGTAGCTGGGCACCATTCAGTTCTTCAAGTCTTATGGTAAAAGAGACCATTGTGCAATGAGGCAATTGGCCACATATCCATTTTCTTCTTCTTTAATCTCCTTCAGCAGTGTTTTATCATTTTCATGGCAGAAATCTTTTATATTCCTGATTCTTTTTTTCCCCCCAAGAAACTGATTAACATTTGGAATGTTGGTATGACCCTGTAGGATAGATGTGGCACGGTAGGATAAGCACTGAACTACTAACTGCAAGGTCAGTGATTCAAACCCACTGGCCACTCCTTGGAAACCCTATACAAGGTTGCTAAGAGACAAAACTGACTTAGTTGAAGTTTGAAGTCAACTAAGTTTGACATTCACCAAGTTGACTTAGTTGAAATTGCTTTTGCAACTTGGGTAATATTTCAACTAGACACAGGTTGCCTGTAGAAACCAGCAGAAGCAGAGGTAACACAGCCAGTGGACTGGTACAAGACAGAGTGGGGGCCAGCCCAAGTGGCCAGAGATCTGGGCATATCTATAAACAAGACTGAGAAGAGGCTGTCCCAATTGAAAAACTGTATTCCAAGTGCTTCTGAACCTGAGCTGTCATCTGTTATTTCTCTAATAAGCCCCATCTTCATGAGTGTAAGTTCTGTGTGGCCATTGAAATGAATTACCAAACCTAGCAGAGAAGTAGGGAGGGATGGCTGGTGCCAGAATTGCTAAAAAAAAAAAAGTTGGGGGTGTGGAAGCATGTTTGACTTCTGCATTTAGGAATCAGCCTTGCATGTTGACCTTGATTCTCTTTCCCCCTTAGTGAAGTTACATGAGGTCAGACATTGCCCCCATACCATTCTTACAAGATCTGTTTGAGTTCATCCTGCTTGGATTTCTATGAGCTTCTTGAATTTGTAGGTTCATGTCTTTGATCAAATTGATGAAAATTTCTGTCCTTGTCGCTCTCTCACCTTCTTCTAGAGTTCTTACGATGTGTGTTTTGGATCTTGTGATGTCGTCCCATAATTCCTGTAACTTGTGCTCAGCCCTTGTTCCTTTCCAGCCTCTGCAATTTCAACTATTTAATCCTCTAATCTACTGACTCTTCCTTCTGCCTGAATAAATCTGTTGTTAAATCCTTCCATCATCTTGGTTATTATCCCTTTCAGATCCAATATTTTTATTCTTTTTTTTTTTTGTTGTTGTTGTTTGAACCCTCATTTTGTTCTAGCATGGTTTCCCCTATTTTTCTTTAGTTCTTTGTATGTTTTCCTTTAACTCTTTAACTACATTTAGTATTTTTGGATTATATTCTTCCCTTCATTTCATTATTCAGTCTTCCACAGGTGCGGTCTCACTCTCATAATCAGGTTCACATAGATGGACCATGCTTTCTCTTTTCTGTGGGGATCTTGTGAGTTTTTTGGAGGGGCATTGCAAATTTTGAGGGTGTTAGTTTTCTCAGTTCCCCACAGTATTTTGGTGTTTTAGCCCATAATACTTTCCACAAAACAACAACAATCCCTCAAAATCTCTTAGGTGGGCTGAACCTTTGGCTTTAACTTCCCATTTCCTCTCCCTCTTGGTAGTAACTCTTTCTCCTGATATAAAGAGGATTTGAAAGTTATAGATCTCAGTTTTCAACTTTAAATTACTCCCAAACACACCCAAGAAAGACACTGTGGTCCATCTGTCCACCAGCGGGTACCACCTCT